GAGCAGCGTACAACAATATTAAAACTTTAAAAACATTAAAACCATTACAAATAGGCAATATTATAATAATACCCTATATTAAAAACAGTCATTAAAACATTGATATTAATAATCATGCTGCTCATATGGCCAGCTAAAGGATAATATTTAATTAAAATGCTAACAAAACAGAAAGGTCTTTGCCTAGTGCCAAAAAGCCAAAGGTGTTGAAGCCAGGCGGATCTCTATAGGGAGGGCGTTCCAAAGTTGGGGGGCAATAGCTGAGAAGGCTCTATTTCGGCATGCCATCCCCCTCACCTCTTTCAGGGATGGCACCTTCAGAAAGGCCTCCTGGCCTGATCTTAGAGGATGGGCAGGCTCATATGGAAGAAGGCAGTCCTTTAGGTAACCAGGTCCTAAGCTGTTTAGGGCTTTATACTGTACGTCAAAGTAAGCACTTTGAATTCGGCCCGAGCAGCAACTGGCAGCCAATGTAAATTTTTCAGAATCAGTGTGATATGAGTCTGTGCGGCGGCACCACTTACCAGCCGCGCAGCCCAGTTCTGTGCCAGTTGCAGCCACCGGACTGTCTTCAAAGGCTGCCCCATGTATAGCACATTGCAGTAGTCCAGTCTGGTTGTTACAAGTGCATGTGTGGCTGCTGCCAGGCTCGGCTCATCCAGATAAGGGCGAAGTTGATATATTCTCCACAGCTGTAAGAAGGCACCCCTGGACACCGAATCTACCTGGGCTTCTAAGGTCAGATCCAGGTCAAGGAGCACCCCAAGTGTGGACCCTGTCCTTTAGGGGGAGTGTAACCCCATCTATGGCAGGGAAATGGCCCTCATGTTCTCTTTCTATGTACTTTTTGCCTAAACAGAAAGTGACCCAAACTTCGCTGAGTAGGGCATAGTCACCAGTTGGGAGGTAGAGCATCCATGAACAGAGGAAAAAGAGGAGACCTATAGATATAAGAAAGACGAAAAGCCGTCTCATTGTAAGATATAAGACATTTTTTTTTGGGGGGGGGAATTAGGCTCAACTCATATCATAGACCTCACTCTTATGTACCAGGAGTTAACTGCTTTAGCCTATCTTAGAATGAGATGAGAAAGATAACTTGGTAGCTTACTTGTGTCATATTCAAGATACAGCACCTGTACTTTAGAAGCATTTTAAAAATGCAGTATCTAAACAGATTATGGGGCATTTGAGTGAGGATTTGGGGCATCCAGATATTAACCACAGAAATGTTTCTATTGCCATAGGGTGTCAGATTTGGAAGCCTACCAATGAAAAAGCCAATCCCCCCATGGCTGGTAAGTAGCAAACTGAACCAAGAAATGGTTATGATTGTGATTAGCTATTGGACACTCATCTGTTATTTCACTTCTGTGTCATTTTGAACTATGTCATATGTGCTATTCCTAATTATTTGTTTTATTCATGGCTGGAAGAAGAACCAGGCCTGTGGTTCTTAATGTTGCCTTGCTACATTCTGTGGCATGGGAGTACTGATACATCTGCAGAAGCGTTTATGATCAAATTAAAGTATCTGTACAAGGACTAAGAACAATCTGCTAGAACAAGTTGGGCAAAGTGAGATCTTCCACATGGATTGTATGATCACATATATGACCACAGTTTCCCCCATGCCAACATGTTAGGAGTTGCAGTTCAACAACATTTGAAAGGTCTCAGTTTCTCCATCTATATGATACAATATAAGGTGGTTAGTCTGAAGGAGATCTGTGCCTACAGGAATCCCTCCAGCCAAAACAAAGCCAAAGCAAAGCAAACAAAAAACAAAACTGCTCAGTGGTTTAGGTCTCTGGCTGCAGAGCCAGAAGTTGGGATTCCATTCCCCCACTGGGCCTCCTTGACAGGGACTGGACTTGATGATCTCTAGGGTGCCTTCTCTAATCTGCAGTTCTAAGATTATTATTATTATCATGATTGTTATTGTTCCAAAACAAACAAACAGAAAGCACCCCCACTCAAATCCTCAGAAGAATTTCATAGCACATACTTGAGCCTTGTCAGGTTTCTCTCTGGAGCAACAGCCATTAACCTGAAGAAAGGAGAAATGCAAGGGAATGGTTAAGCTCTCTGGCTAGGCTCCTGCAAAAGATTAGGTGACAGGTAGTTTTTGAGAAGAACCCCTAAAGAGCAGAGAGACTACCAGTTATCCCTTGAATAAAATAAGCAGTTCATGATATAAATTATAGTGACTCCCATCTTACTGGACACAGGCTGAAAATGAACATTTTAAAACTGTCACAGAACACTGCTGTAGATAAAAATTGTGTCTTGTCACAGTACCCATGTCTGGTAGGGTACTTTTAAGAACCAACTAAAAACATGGATGTATAGACAGGCCTTCCCTTCCAGTTAATTCCTGTCCTCTTTCCTTATTTTTCTCTTTATTTGATTTATTTTTATTTTTCCCATCTTATAGAATCATTCTTCTGTATGCAACCATGTGAATGTTGAATTAAGGCTGACAAATCTACATCTTACCTGTTGTAAGCCGCCCAGAGACCTTTGGGTAGAGTGGGCGGCATATAAGTTAAATAAATAAATAAATAAATACTTTGTTCAGCTTAGTTTGTTTACATTTGGCCCTTTCTAGCAGACACATCTTCAGTTTGTGAGTTGTCCGTTGTTCAGTTTGTGGGGTAAGGGGTAGGGGTGGTGTCACTGTTCATCCTTTTGTCTGTCTTGATTAGCCCACTGAATTATCCATTTATTAAAAAATGTCATCTGATTAAAGGATCTCCACTCAGTTTTATAAATTTTATTAAAGAGTTATCCAGTTCTTAAAAACATAATGCCAGATGATTAAAGGATTTCCACATAGTTTTATAAAATGATATTACAGTATGGAAATGCATTTCAGTAGACTGATTTATTTTTTTAAAGCTGGACATGAAATACTTATCGCCCCTTATGTTAGCATATGAAGACAGAATGAGGGAAAAAGAAGAGCTGATTCATGCACATGCGGTAAGTTGGTAAATATATTCTTTAATGAAGGTGCAGGGAATAGAGGGGAACTAGCACTTTGCGGGATTTGGAACATATACTTCTGTTAATGCAGCCTAAAATAGCATTTGCCTTTTTGTAGCCATATCACACTGTTGGCTCATATTGAACTTGTAATCTTCAATTACAATGGTGCCGGATCCGTATGCCATTGGCCGCGGATGACCCGAAATGGCCCCCCGCAGCGTTTTCGCGACCTCCGTAAGCAAGGGGAGGGCACGAAAACACTGACAGGGGGCCATTTCGGGTCATCCGGTGGCCATTTTGGAGCCGCCGAACAGCTGATCGGCGGCTCCAAAATGGCCACCGGACCAGCGAAAACATCGCTGGAGGGGTACGTTTTGGCGCCTATTGGAACGCATTAAACTAAGTTTAATGCGTTCCAATAGGCTTTTCCTGCCCCGTACAGCGATGTTTTCGCATAGCGAAGGTTAATCCGGAACGGATTAACCTCGCTATGCGGGGCACCACTGTAACTAGAAAAGGTTTTGACAATGTTGTTCTTGTAACATAGCTGTAAAGAGTACTGAAGACACCTTAAAGAGTATACTCAAAATACATGTTCCCTAGAATGTGCTTCTAGTTGAAGTCTAGAGCATTTGGAGGGTAACAACTAGAGAAGAATGAACTAATGTTTTTGTGGAGGATTCCTCCCCATCTTCAGAAGAAGATTGTGGCAGACAAGCATGGACCTGACATGTTCTGAAATGATGCAGTTTGAGAAAACTAGCCTCAGTATTCAGTTGAATCTTGGATAGATAGTATTTGTTCCATACCATAATCTGAATAATCAGATGTACATATAAACAGATAAACATGGCAAACGGATAAATATCATAGAACTGCACTGGCCAGAGGACTTATGGCAACCCTTTCCAGGGTTTTCTAGGTAGAGAATACACAGAAGTGGTTTACCATTCCCTTTTTCTGGTGACATCCTAGTATTCCGCATCTTGGCCGTGACTACACAGGCTATCTTATCTCACAGGAGGTACATTGGGGTAGGTATATATTCCTTCTCTCCTGTGGCTTCCATGCAACAAAACAGATTTCTCACAAGTCAGACAAGCAACGGAACAGAGGGAAGAAGTCTTTATTAGAGCAAATCAATCTCTGCCAGTGATATCATATCCTTTCAGCAGGTGTGATTTAGCCAATAGGATTTTAGCTGTAGAGTAAAAGGTGCCTTTGTTTCCATCATGAAAGAAGGCAACAGGTACCTAGACAAAATCAAGAAAATGGGACAGAGAACCCATGCCCAGCAATCCAAATGTCCTTTTTCTCAAGATATAGAAACGCCACTTGTTTCTAGTAATGCCCATAAAGCTCTGTGCATTATGATTAAGTGTTGTGTCCAGTTAAAACTGACTCTATACTGATTACATTAGATCTAAACTTTTAATATTTCCTTGATTTTTCTTTTTTAATTGCACCTGTATTTGAAACTTATTCTAATAGTCATTCAAAAAATTCATTTTAGAAGCTTATAGAAAATAGAAATGGTAACACTATTTGGCAAAACAATAATAATAATAAAACTAAAAAAAGATTAAGCAAAACTTTTGTGTTAAGACCTTGGATGTCTGGTTACTTGTGAAGACAACACAGGATAAAAAACAGTAAGACATTATATTAGATATAATTAGTATTAAACATTTAAAAATTATTGATTACATGTACTTATTATGGCCAAAGAGCTCAAAATAAACTTTAATTTCAGTATCTTTAACTGGGAGGAGTTTTAGCGCAAGGTAGTCTGGGTATACCCCTATAGTCCTCATTAAACATGGCCAAAGGACAATTGCGTCTCTCATCATACAGCAAGGACACTTCTCCAGCCTTCTCTACAGCTGCAAAAATTCATCTTAGAGATTGTTTACTGAAGTGTCTGCTCCCGTAAAGTACAGGCCTTCCTAGGTCACTCCCTTACCTTGCTGATATGACTGCAAAGCATAGATTGGAAGGTGCAGCTGTTTTCCTGTCCTTTAAATGAGATTCCTATAGGAATGGTTCACTATTGTGTAAATGGTCCAGATAGGATTTTAATGTGACCTAGTGTAGCTCTTCATAGTTCCTGAAAGAATATGAAGTTAAAAGGTGAATTTTTGTATTTTTTTATCACTTCTGTTTTAGGAGGACATGAAGATGTTTAAAGCGCGGGTTGAAGAGTTAGTGAAGGAAAATGAAGAGTTACACAAGCAATTAAGTAGAACTAGCTCTGTTACCACCAAAGAATGGCAAGTATTTTCATATATGAAGTTATTAAATGATTTCTTTGTCACTGTATGTAAATAGTTCATGATTATCCTGAGCTATGGTAGGTCTCCTAATATCTAGACTTGTTTAAATATTCAGAAGCCAGACTAATGTGATTGCTCTAGATACTGTACTATTTATAGACATCCAGTGGAAGAGTATAGGTGAAATTCAGAAATTGTCATCACAGGCAGGGTTCTTTATCCTGGTGAACATAACTAGCCCAGGCTTACTCTTGCCTTCTCTGCAGCTGAAGCTACAGAATGGATAGGATTACATGGCACATGCTTACACACTGCATCAAAACAGAAGAAAGACTCCATAGTTTCCTTGGGAAAAGCAATTGCTGTGGATGTGTCAGTGTTATATTGATGGTTCCAAGAACAAAATATGTGGTCATAGGCTCACTTTTAAACATCTGGCCTCACAATCATTACTTACATTTTAATTTCCATTTGATGCTTTTGTTGTTGTTGTTGTTTTACAAAGGCTGAGTAAATTTCATTTTCAAATCAATCATTATTTACAGGCAGCAGTTGCAAAGCCAAGCCAAACTCGTTGTAGAGGAGAACACAGTACTAATGGAACAGCTTAAGATACAACAAGCAAAAGCAAAAGACAGCCTTAATCAACATGTCCAAGAAAGTAAAATAACTTTCTTTAGCTATATTGTTCGCGTTTGCATGCTGAGAATGGGTAGACGTATAAGCCAGCATTGGCCCTGAATAAAGGATTTTGTCATTCTGTTTAGAATGACAGGTGTTGCTGATGAGTGACAATTTGATTATTAGTTATTTTGTAGAATCTCATCAAGAATATGTTTATGTTGTTTTTAACACTTAATTAACTATTATACATTGTAAACTTTAATACAATATTTACCTTTGGGCTCATTCTTGGTTACAGTGAATTGATATTCAGCAGTGACAGAATTTAAAATATATTACATAATATCATTCATTGATGATATTGATGGTGTAAAAGGGGGAGAATTAATGATGGGGGAAGTAAAAAGATTTGATCCTGCAACATATTACCCAACCCAGAACTTTGTTTCTGCAAATGGATCACAATGCAGTTTCTGTATGAGCCTCTTAAATGTTGCATATTCTGTTGAACAGACCATGACAACCTTAGTGCTTTCATAACCTTTTCCTCTGACAGATTATCATTTTAGAACTGCAAATCTGAAGGGATGCTATGGATCATTGAGTCCAGCCCCTGTCAAGGAAGCACACTGGGGAGTCAAACTCCCAGCGTCTAGCCGTAAGGAAGCACACTGGGGAGTCAAACTCCCAACGTCTAGCCGTTCAGCCAGATAACTAAACCGCTGAGCTATCCTGCAGACCCTTTAATACACCCAGATACCTAAATCACTGAGCTATCCTACAGACCCTTTAATACATATTTAACAAATCTGTATTAAATATTCAAAACTTTTGAAAAGTACTTTCAAGTATAGTACAGTAGGACCCTTGTATCTGTGCAATTGGTATCCACAGTTTCCCACAGCCCTATATTTATTTTATTTATTTTTTTATTTATTTTATTTTTACCCCACCTATCTAGTCACTTAAGACCACTCTAGGCGTATATACAAGATACAAGGGCCTTGTGCCCTTTGTTTTGCCCCCTTGCATGCTGTATATAAAGTTTCCCTCTTATCTGCAGTTTAAAGCTTCCACAGTAGATAATGAAACCAGTCCACTCTAGGCGTATATACAAGATACAAGGGCCTTGTGCCCTTTGTTTTGCCCCCTTGCATGCTGTATATAAAGTTTCCCTCTTATTCCACAGTAGATAATGGAACCAGTCTCTGCAGATACTAGAGTCCTACTGTACTGTAGTTTAACAAAATGTAAGAGCCATTGGGCCAGAATCCTGTTACTTATATGCTCCAGTGTGAATTTCACTGATAATTGCCTCTAGGTAAGATGTTGGTGTACGCATTTGATGTCGCATACTAGTCATATGGTGTAGTATACACAAATGCCTCTGCTGATTTCTTAACTAATGATAATTAGCTACTAAAATATAACCTTTTGGACTTAATAGCAGCATAATTCTTTAGTTGGAGTTCAGCCACTGAATTAGATTAAGAAATATTGGTAAAGAACTAGAAGTATCAGTAAATTGTCGGAGAAGATAGCTTGGTACACAATATTATTTCCTAAGGCAGGTACCAATTTTGTCTCAAATGTTTTGTGTACTTGTTATTTTTCCCTTTTAAAGGTTCCAGATTAGCAAAGCAACTAATGGTTTTAGAGGCCCAAAAACAGAACCAAGAAGAGGAGATGAGAGAGTGTCAGAAGCAGCTGGATGAATTGCGCTTCACATACAAAGAGTTAAAAGCCAGTGTTCAGGATCATATAACTCTAGAGGAGCATTTTACACTGATAAATAAAATTAAAAGGTAGGGATGTGATGATGGAAAATACCAGCAAAATGCCTGTTAAATACCATAAAAAGCTTTGCCAACTGTATTTTCCAGTTTTTTCTTTATTTATACTCATTTGAAAGTGTTAATGTAGTACATAAAAATGTTCTCTTTAGAGATCAGGCATAGGTTTTGGAATTGTGTACTCTCTCCATCAGTGACCTCAGTCATGAAATAAGAGTGCCTGTATTACTCACTAAGACTAAGTAATCCCATAGTTCACTAGCTTGAAACCTTTTTTAAATTAGGTACCAGATGACATAGCTATGATATATGTATCTGTGACAAATTATCTTTTAATCTCTATTAGGACATTAGGGAACTTCATATTGTTCAAATTGGCTCGGTATTGTCTTGCAGTAAATGGCAGTGACTTTTTGAGATCTCCTTTCT